TATCTTCAACCGGGAGAAAGTGATCAGTAATTTTTTGCCTCTTCTTTCTTGCTGGTAGCTCTAGTGCAGACGATTCTAGACTAACATTCGACCCAGTATTTGATGATGGTGGCGGCAACGGCGGTGGTGATATAATTTGCACCTCGCTCTCTTCTACGGTAGAAGCAGAGGACGAAGAATGCACATTCTTCGTGTCAATTTTGTGAGTCGATTTTAAATGCACATGTAAGCCACGCGGAGATCGATCTTTGGTTTTAAGAATCTTTTTACAAAGTTTGCACTTAGCACTCAACCCATTTTCCGCTCTTAAAAAGTGTTTCCATACTTCCGACACACTCACATAGTCTTTATAAACTATATCCGCTGACATCGTTCGTTATTCTACTCACAAATCACATAAAAAACTTTTGTTTACATAAATAACCACAAAAATACTCGGACGCAATCAGTAAACAAATGCACGCCACACGCCGCCGGCTCAACTGTCATTTCAACCAATCGCAGCACGTAACGTAACAAAATCTGAGCGAGACCTCGTCCCGCGACCGCTACCTCAGGCCGCCATCACCCGCGCCGCCGAAACAGATCGCAGCTTCGTGTCAATTCGTGACATTTCGCGCGCTGTCGCGCTTCGAATTTATGTTCAAGTGCAATCTCGTTAAGCTCGCGAGATCTCGCTCATTTTTCGGCCGAGATTAATCTCGCTAAAATAAGCCGAGATCTCGCGAGAACGAGATCTCGCGAGAACGAGATTGCATTCCCTAGATGGATGGATGATGAATAGACTGCTGGAGCAAAAGCCTTCCCTATGGACGGAATAAGTTGCATGGGCTTAAACTTCGATCTATCACGCGGGCCCTTAGATTAAAATAAAAAAGGGAAGATACGGCACTCGCGACTCAAAAGTGATCCGCTTCAATTGTGGTGCATGACCACATTTCGCTTTAGTCACAACTGAACATTCAAACACGCTGTATGTGCACTCAGTATAACAATATTGCGAATATTTTGTGTTATAAAGAAATACCAATGCTTTCGATGCTTTTTTTCAGAACACAAATAGTTGAAGATCAAATAACAAGTTTCACGGCCACACTTTCCATTCGTAAAACCATGAAAACATTTTTTTTTCTCAAAAATCACGGTTTGTCATGAATGTTTATTTACTTCTTCGCCATTTGTTATCAAGAAAAGGATAACAATAACAAAAGGAAATACAGTTCAGCCGTTTGTAGAGAGAGGAAAGAAAACGCATTTGGCAAGCCAAGCGACGTGGACTCGACGTTTTGCTCGCGCTGCGTTGAAGCGAGCAGTTCTGTCTCGCTCGCTCGATTGAATGTTTATTTACAGAAGTGTGCGTGCGTCACAGTTGCTTATGATATAGTTGAGTCGAAGCATATTTTATTTGATGCTTGTATGAACGTACCGCATCTTCCCTTTCTGTTTAATGTAAGTACATGCTAACGACTGCAGATGCATCCAGGACCAACGGCGTACCTTTTGAAGCACAGAGGGAGCTCGCGATTATAAAATTTTGGTCACCCATCCTAAGACAGGTCATTGCGAAAGTTGCTTAACTTCTACGATCGTTAACCAAACACGCTTACCACTTGAGCCATAGAGCTCCTCTAAACCTATTAGTTATCACTACACCTTAGAGAAGACTACTGCAGTGTTATTCTGCAAAATTTTACAGGATAGCACTGCTGTATCTTTGGGGGACTACCAGACTCCTTGATGATAAGACCATTAATTTGTAATGTTAAAAAATAATGTAATTTTATTTATATTCCACTTCACTTACATTGTAACCATTCTGAATGATACTCTCTTTTGACATCATGTCTTTAATGCCATTAAAGTAAGTATCCTCATCATAACTTCTTGCTGGTAAATACATAACATAGAATTCCACATTGACAACATTGTACTTAAGACACTGTATATCATTGTAATATCTAGCCGGTGCTGCATCAATGAAAATGTAATCTGTATGATAAGAAGTCCTCATGAACGGACTTACTGGTACAGGGAACTCCATATTGCAACCTCCAGGTACAGGATCTACAAAGGTTACTAATTAAGCAACTGTTATGTTAACAATTTTGAAATTTCATTCAGTATTTTTATGTATCCACTGCATATCACCAAACTTTTCTTAAGACAATCCCACATGACATAGAAGAAAGGACTATGTTTAACATACTTTCTAAAGCATGGAAGAATTTGAGATATGAAAAAGGACAACCTACCAACTACGCTATAATAAGCAAAGTTGACATTACACTAAATTCAGTAATGAAAGTATTTATACGTTATTAAAATGGAGAAATTAAAATGGAGATTTATGCCTTTTGTACCTAATATGTTTTAAAAAAGATCAAGAAATTATATTCAATGCATGCAGAGCACGAATATACTGCTGTTGTAATGAAAATAGACACAACAATTTTTTTTTTAAGAAACATGTTACTGTTCATATTGCTATATTTCACTTCTATTTAAGTTATACAAAAATAATTATTAAAATTTACATCATATAAGGCAGCTTATAACCATGGATTACAAATGTTAACAATATTGTGACAGATGACATAGTATAATAACAGTATACCGAGCTGTATTTCACAAAAAATACTTATTAATTATCATAAAATTTTATCAACCTAATTTTGCAATACTCTTACAGGGTCATGTACTATAACTAAAAATATATCTACCATCTGTTTACTGGCCTGGTTAGTTCTGGCCTTAGTAACAACAGCAGTGTATTCCAACACACGAGACTCGAGGAGCTCGATGGCGCAAGTGGTTAGTGCGTTTGGCAGCGATCGTTGAACTTAAGCAACTTTCGCAGTGGTCAGTCATTGGATGTGTGACCAAAAATTACTATCTCAAGCTCCTCCATGCTTCGGAAGGCACGTTAAGCTGTTGGTCCTGGCTGCATCTGCAGTCGTTAGCACCCACCAATCCACACTGGGCCCGTGTGGTGGGTCATGGCCCAATCTCCCTATTCCATCCATAGGGAAGGCCTGCGCCCCAGCAGTGGGGACATTAATAGGCTGATGATGATGATGACGATTCCAACACAGATTAAATTAAGAGTTTATCCTATTGTAGCTATAAAACAAATGTTTTATTGTATTTAATTATTACCTAAAATCCATAAAGTTTATAGGGTAAATCTGTTATAGTTAGTTACTTTATTTAAATAGACAATGACTAATATTAAAAAATAAGGAAAATGTTACCTCTTTCTCTGTACCCATAGACAGATATTAATAACTTCAAATTGAATGTGTTTCTGTTTTCTATGTAAAATACATCTGGTTTAGGTTTAGTAAGGCTGTAGAGGCCAATGTTTTGACCTGTGACTTCAGTATATGTTTTGCTGTATACATTCACATTATATTTGTGGCTGTGCACTTGAAATATAATAAATGAAACGTTGCTGTTGATGCCTATGAAATCAAGTCCGATTGTTGAGGAAGCATTTATGTTGATGAAATTACTAAAGAGTTGTTTGTCCAGCAATATAGTAGATTCATTCAGAGGGATGATGAAAGCTAAAACGAGAAACAATAACATTACGGTATTTTAGTCATATATATCGCAAACAAATATGAACTGTTGGAGAAAATCCTGTGTGATACCTAACTTGAATTTCAGTAAGGGTTAAACTTACTTTGAGAATTGACTGAAGATGCACCAAACATCAACATCGACAACAACAGAAGCACGATTTGCAATGACATCATTTTTATTAGAGTATAAATAAAAATACACCACTGTAGGGAAATTAACACTATTTTTAAGATACACCCAGTACACCTATCATTTTTGATTGTCAAAATCAGCTGTTCATCGATGTCATCCGTTCGTGCCGCATCAAGACAATCTATCCAAAACTTGTTATTTTGCTCTATTTTAATGGCAATCTAAAGAACCTTAATCTCTAATGCGAAGTGATAACAGCGAGCAACGTACAACAACACTCGCCGTTTTACAAGGATAAATATTATTGCGAGCGAGTGATATCAATATCAACAATAAAAAAACTGCGTCAAGAAGATATCAATATGTAAGCGTTAAACGAAAACCGACTTAAATATATAACGCTAAGGATTGTATTTTGATTACCTTATTGTGGAGCGCCCTCTATCGACAATGTATGCTACTTGGCTATGACTCGTTCAGAAACTAAGATTTTCTTACGGCACAGAAAAATTAAAATAAGGAAATTTGTTACTTATGGTTTTATAACGGCGGCATCGAGAAATATTGTGAAAAGCATAGACATACTATTTATGAAACATTGAAAATATAATTTATTCACTTTATAAAAGCAAAATTACAAACTTTACTTTAATTTGTTGTGATGTAATTATAGTAATTTGTTTAATAAATTTCAGTAATTAATCTTTGTAATTTAAAATGTTAAATGAATCAAATAAAAACTTTTGTTAATAATATTTGATATTTATTTTTATACCAATGAATTTATATTAAATCTAGTTATTTCCCTACGATGTATAAGATTTTTTGTAAATCATTTAAAACAGCCATTAATATCTAAATACGTAAAACATGATTTCCAAACTGATTGGCTTTGACATATCAAAGGAATTTATTGTACTAATTTTAAGCACTGTAAATTTTTCCTGTTTCTTAAATAAGGTTTAATTTACATATTTTAGTTTATGAAGAATAAAGAAATATAAAATATTTAACACATTTATATTGCATTAAACATCAGTGAAAACATTCTGATAACTTTATTAAATTTTATTTGAAATGTTGGCAAGTGTTTCTCGTTCAGTTCGGAGAAAATGAAAATCATAATGATATTTAGCGAAAAAGAATAATATTTCCTTCCTTCCTTCCTGTAGCGTTAGATTTTAATGAATGCTGAACCTACTGAACGAATAATTGAATTCACGAATCCATGGACCTAGGATTTTCCGACAATCAAAACGTCAAACTCTACCACAGTCTACAATCAAAGATGGCGGCGCGATCAATGAAGGTGGATTGTGTAGTGAAGGAATTCCTAGTGTAAAAAACTGAAATGGTCGGATTGTATGTTGTTTTTGTGAGTGATATTATACTTTAATAGGCAATGGGGAGGGGTCAGGAGTTGCTTGATGCAGCCCGCAATGGCGATAAGAAAACTGTAGAGAAAATACTCAATCAAATAACAAAAAGGAGTGGTCCTTTTACGAGGTGGGTTCATGTTTTTTAATTATTGAGCTTCATTACATATCGTCGGTTCCTACAGTATTATTATTTATCAAACTTAGTTTACATTCATCTATGATAATCTAAAATCTATGTAAATAAACTTGTCATTATCGAACAATCTAACAATAATTATCGCACTGTACTTTTAAAATGTTTACTGTCTCGATAAAATTTGCGATTATCTTGGATTTTGCGGCAGGAGATTATGGCCTTTTTTTATGTTAAGAAGCCGGTGCAGTCAGTGGATGATATGCTATTACCTAAATTAAACAATTATTTAAAGCAAGGTCTTAAAAACATACAAACTCAAAAGTACACTGCTACATGCTATAAACAAAATTTCTCGGAATTATTCAAATTACTTTTAGGAAGGCCAGGCAATAATATTATTGTAATGGAGAAATGTAATTCCTGTTAGTTGTTCTGTTAAGTAGAAAATATGCTATCTTCATTGTCAGTATTTAAGAATTTTACATTTAGTAAGTAATTACAATCTTCTGTTATTCATATTTACGAAATACAAAAAGTACCTAGGTATCTCAATTGTGCAGTCCCCATCAAATTTTTTTTTTATAATTTATTCATGACCATGGATCCTAGTCCTTCAGTCGTAAACATAAATACAAAATCTTCTTGAAGAATCTTTCAGAATCTTGTTGTGCATTGTGCTGCCAGACCAGCATTCAGGATTTTTGAGTATTCTGGGGATCTGTTTGAAAAACTGTCTGGATATAGAAAGCACTTTTATGTAGGAGGGATTTTTTTTATGGTACTAAATTCCATTAGTTGTGGTGGAATTTCGGGGTAGTTTTGATGTGGGGGGGAAGGAGGGGGTCTCTCCGACTCCCCTACTAAAGATTTTAGACAGATTTGCATGTTTTTTTTTTAATTAACCTAACCTAAAAATTCATAAATTTTTTAGGATGCAAGGACTAGGGTAGTAAGAACCAGTACTTCTGCCTTATCTCCGGTGCTGCCGGAATAGCAGCCCCTCTGCCTTTTCGTGACAAAATCACAAGCATCACTCCACAGCAGGCGGGGGTTGCTCTCCCTACGCGCCTAAAAAACACTCTAGGGGTAGGGCAGACCAAGACCACGGCGTGTCGGGGTTGACCAAGTCGGTTCTGAATTAAAGATTGTTGTAAAGCCCCATTTACCTTTTTTTCTAAGTGTGGAGCCCATTTCTTATTTACCAAGTAATTAATAGTAAATATGATTTTTATTGATGAACACAGATTGACTGACATTTCTCAAAACAAACACAAAACCCTCTAGGATCTGTCCTGATGGCAATGTAGGAGCAGCAGTATGGATCCCCAAATTTAATATTGTATTAAGTTTTAAATGTCCAAAAGAGGCTTCAACTTTATCTGGAGAATCGGTAGCTATCTCGGAAGCCATTACTTTTATACTCTCCCACAGGATTAACAAATCCATTATATTCACAGACTCCAAAAGCTGCCTGGAAGCTCTCTTGAGCAATCTGTTCAAGTCCAAAACAGTATCCCCTATCATCTTAGATATTAAAAAAACACTGTTAGAATATCATTCACAAAATATTGATATTGCGCTAGCATGGATTCCTGATCATAGTGATATTAGAGACAACAAAACCGCAGACACTTGGGCGAAAGACGCTACGCTATCGGGTTACCCTTCGCGTCTTCAAAATTACTCGGCAGATGTCCTCCAATTAGCTAAATCGACCTTCAATCCGAATGGAGTAAAAGATGGAGTCGTAACTCCAAAATTATAGGCCACCATAATGGCAGCCTTCAGGAAATAATACCCATAAAACCTTGGTTTGCTAAATTCCGCGACTTTCCCAGGTGGGTCATTACAACTATTAGCCGTCTTGGTCTCGGCCACGTTACCTCGCCAGTCTTTCTTTCCAAATTATGAATACTAGACAGCTCCATTTGTGAGTGCAGACTCGAGGAAGGAACTGTAGACCACATTTTTTTCAACTGTCAAAAACACCCATCTCTACATTCTCTACTTCCACCCAAAACTGTACGTCCCGTTAACATTAATACAATTCTAACATTGACCGACAAACCTGGCTTTTTGTGTTTATGTAAATTCATAAAAAATACAATATTAAACTCTAACTTTTATTAACCTTTCTATTTTTATTTGGAAATAATTGTCGGCTCTACCCATGTCATATAAATTAATATTGTTTAACCTGTGACGTCTTTGTGTTTGTTTGTTGAGTTGTGCTTTCAGAAAAGTGAATTACTCAAGGAAGAACGTATAATCGGTTATTTAAATCACCTTAATCTGTTTCTACCGAGCAGTCTTTCTTGTGTCTCTCTCACTACCTACTGGACATTGGCGAAATTTCTGTGTAAAACGGAGAACGCCACAGAAAGAAGAAAAAAAAAACACAAAACGGCGGGACATCTGTCATTTTGACAATAGTAACAACATAATAAAACATATTTTTTACCACAGACAACGAAAAACATGTTATTTCTGCATGAAAAAATGGCAGCACTGATCAAAATGGCTGTCAAAATTGACTTTAACCTATAAAAATATAAATTTTCAATTTTTTTTTTCTCGAGTTCTATTTGTTTCTGTATAAAAAGATTTCGTGTACGTGTTCCTAATAATTAATACTTTCCATGACAAAAATCTCAGCTCGGTACTCAATCACAACTAATGGAAAGCTGAGCCCTTTCTATACTTCAATTAATATCTGTTTTTATCATTTAAAAGTTTTATAAATAAATGATAACTAGGTAAAATGATTGGAGATTTCCAGTTAAAACTAATCAATTTTATGTAGCTGAAACTAGCAGACATAGTGGCAGACACATCCAGCATCAGGCAACAAATAAGAAAAACCAAAACAGTCGCCAGAGATATTTTTTGTGATGGTCTCGCTGCTGGATGTCTGCTACAATTTCTTATCTAATTAGTTTTAGCTTCTTAACAATTTTCACCCAGATTTTGATTGAAAAGATTTTGTCTCAAATATTTACTATTAACTTCTTCAATAAATAATAATTTCAATAAATTTGAAACATTTCATAATATGTGCAAGTATTATTCTGCTAATGCATTTAAGTTTTGATTACAATTTTATATTTACTGTTCCACATACAATTGAGACCATGACATAATTATCAACACAATTAACTCTAGTTGCTAATTATCAATGGGCCACTACTACAATATTTTTGCAAACAAAGATTCTAAATCATTTTACCCTCAATTATTTAAGTATCCATTATTTTACTAGAAAATTTGGTTTCTAACAGTGAACATTTATTTAGTTTTATATTTAAAATATGTAATGATTATAAATAGCTAAATGTGCAAATTCATTATATTTAGTATAAACATTGACTGCTTCGTCCTATGTGAAGATATTAATTTACTATGTCAATTACTACTTTGTTTTTATTAATTGTTATTCACCAAAAATTAAGTTTTAATAAAATGCAGCTTAAATGAAGTTTAGTAACAACTGACACATTGGTCATTAATTATTCATCAAGCAACACTTATCAATCTAAAGAAAATGTTATTAGAAAAAATACCATGCGGCCCAGGCAGCAGACGGGACTCGAACCCACACCCTTAGCTATCTTTCTTTCTTTCTTCTTTCTTTCATAATAAATAAATATATTATTATGTACAGAAATATACAGAGTTCTTGGATCATCAGTAAGAAAATGGTGTATGCTACTTTCATTATTGAACTTTGGTTCCTTAATTTAAATTCATTTTAGTATTTTTCTTTCATTAAAAAAAATGTAATCATATGTCATATAAATAATGTCTCCTTACCTGCATTTTCTTTTGATATTTTAGTCTTCTTTTATATGCTGACCCTACTCAAAGACTTCCTGTTATTATGATTTGCATTACAATCCCTTAAATAGAGTATTTTATAACAACACAAAAGTAATTGCTTTATCAAAAGTAACATACCTACCTCTGATCTAAAAACAGTTACCTATTTAAGGAAGTGGATAACACTAACCATTAAAGTGGAGTGTTTTGGCGGCGCGCCAGACAGCAATCGATGTTAAGAAACGAACATTGAACTGTTCAGTCTGTCTGTTGGTTTGTATACATATTATTATCATAGATAGATTTCGTTATGAGAGGCTTTAATTTAGGAAGTCTGTAAGCTGATATAAAGAAAAGGAAATATTTGAGGATCATAAGTAGTAAAATAGTGTGCCAAGCGATTCATATTCCCAAAGTACAACGGTTTGCGCATTCAGTCGGCGATTGTGGCAGTAAGCCATTTACTCCTCGGCCTTACATTGGATGGGTGACCAAAAATTTGTTATCTTGAACTCCTCCGTGTTTCGGTTAAGAGTGTAGGTTGTTTTTATAGTCTGTATTTGCAGTTATAAGCACACAATAATATTGGCGTTGGACCCATGCGGTGGCATAATAATCCTGTGATTCTATCCATACATAGGGATAGGAAAGGCCTGTGCTCCAGAATAAGGAGCTGTGGGATCTTTAAAGGCTCTATGAATATGAGTACATTCATTGTTATTAATACATCGTCATGACTTGGCTGATGGTTTCCGCACTAAGTATTTAAGTGGACCATTGTACTTGAGCCATGGTGCGACTCCACTGTGAGTTCTTTGTTGTAGTTTTAGGAAACAGTGTGATTTCAGGGTTCTGTCGCTGGCTGATGCCATCCTGGGCTGTAACTTCATTGAATCTTTTTTTATACGTGGCGCAACCAAATACCCCGCCAAGTGGAGTCCAGTCGCGAAGATAGATGATGCAGTAGCAGATGCCGCTCTAGTGATTCCCTTTCCGGTCAATCTTAAAAATCTTTGACCCTTACTCACGACCAAAAACACAACACCACCAAAAGATAGTGTTATTTACTGTGGTCTCGTGTAAGGTGGAGGTTGCTTCGCCAGACGGGCACTCCAATTCGAGAGTAAATCCGTTGTGCCCTACCTGTCCTAAGGTAAGAAAAGCCTTTATGCGTA